TTTAGCAGTTTCTTAATTCAGTCTGATAGAGTCTGTTCTAACATTCTTACAGATACACAGAGAGTTAGGAGTTGTAATAAATTAATGCAAAGACACTTTGCAGGACATGACTGATCATGTCTACATTTGCAAAATTGGAGGGAATTAGGCAAATGCTTACCACTAATCATACTTTTATTTTAATAGCTTAATTAATAAAGGAACTCTGAAAATCATGATAGATTCTTTAGATATTTTAGTGTAAGGCTGTACAGAGGCTAGCACTGGTGCAAAGGCCTTAATTGTTGAAGTTGTCTTGTCATTTAAATTTTACCTGCTAAAAAGCTAATAATCATTGATCTTATTTTCTTAGAGGATTTCTTATCCCTTGCCCTTGTCCAAAAGACAAAGTCCTTATGTAGTCTGTCTTATGTTTTATTTTGTTGATTCCTTCTAACCTTCAGAGTAGCTTAATTAATCATCTTTGAAGTGAGCATAATTGACTTGAATGTTCAAAGAGCTTCTGAATAAACCTTTCACAAGAGAGCTTTAAGAAAATTTACAAAGCAAGAGTATTGTTCAAAGTGTTCAAAGTATCGTTTTGAATTAAAAATCGGTTATGTGAGGAAAAGGGGAGCAGTTGTTTCCCTCGTTCTCCTGCCTGGGCCACTGTGAGCCCAGCCAGGGACGCCCGCCCTCGCGCCTGACACTCGGCCTGCTGTCGGCCAGGGTCCCCAGGTCCTTCCCAGCAGCGCTGCTCCCCAGCCAACCTGTCCGCAACCTGTGCTGTCGCAGCACAGGAGCTTGTGTTTGTCGTTGTTGGCCTTCGTATGGGTCATGTTAGTCCATTCCTCCAGCCTGCCTGGGTCCCTTGGGATGGCAGCCCTGCCCTCAGGTGCACTGAGGACATAATTCGATCTCCTCTGCTAACATGATCAGAGTGCACTCTGGTGTTCCTCCAGGACCATTGCTGCAGGTGTTGAAAAGGACAGGTCCCAGGTCCCAGTACAGACCTGTGTAGTACTCGACTTGATACCAACCTCAAGGCAGAGTAGAACTTTCTAAAGGCTACCCTCCAAGCCCTGTCTCCTAACCACTTTTTCACCCACGTAGTTTTGCACCCATCCAGACCGTAAGATCTCAGCTTTGCTACAAGAATATTTGTGAGATAGTGTTGAAGACCATGCTAAAGTCAAAGTAAATGGCATCCACTGTTCTCCCCTCACCCCAAAATCCAGTCATTCTATCACAGAGGACAATCAGGTTGGTCAGGCAAGAGTTACCCTTGGTAAATCTGTGCTGACTGTACCCTGTCACATTGAGGCATTGAGAACTGCTTTCTCTGCAGCTTGAAAGTTTCCCCTAGGTTATGAGCTGCACCTTTAGTCATAGTCTGTCTTCTGAGGATAAAAATCTTTTTTTGGTCTTTCTATAAGAGTTTAAAGCTCTTTTTGCATCAGAAATTTTCCCCTTGCTTTCTGAAGTAATTTTATCCTTACACATCACTCCAGCACACCCACCAACTAGTAATGCCTATGACAACTTTCAGTGTTTTCTAAGATTCCTTTCTTCCTTCTTAGAAAGATAGCTTGTCTATGAAACTATCAAGATTGTCTCTGTACCCCTCTCATCATTTACAGTTCAGTGGAGTTTGCTTAGTATGACTCACAAAATTCTTATTATCAGGAGATCACAAAGTAGCTAGCATGGTTGCCATTTCTACAGCCTGGAAAAATGTGTCAAAATTCATCTAGTTTTATGTTTATCATCAGAGGTGGATCCAGATTGCTCAACACAGTTTTTTCATCTTGAAGATCCACTTTGAAGCTTGTAGATGAATCTAAATTTTGAATTCCAGCTTCCAAAGAGATTAAGGAGAATCAGAGTTGTTGTCACATCCCTGAGCGTGTTATAGCCTCACAGTTGAGTGCCTAAATTAAAATCAAACTGATCCAAAGAAGTTTCAACCATATTCTCGCAAAAGCTACAGGTCTAAATGTCTGTTGTCAGAACCAACAGCTACAACTTCAGTTTTATGATAGTAGTTGCTGAAAGATGCCTAAGATTAATCACTCAAAAGTCACCGAGCCACTAAATCACACACTAACTGGCTCTGTGTTCCCCACCTCTGGTCCACCAAGCTACTAGTACACCAAAAATTGTCTAGGCATGGGTTGCACAATGGAGGGAGTCGGTTCTATTTACCAACCAGTAACTGAGCGCATTCTTTATTTACTACCTGAACACGTTAACACTCATCCAGTAAGTGCATGTGCTAAGGCTGTTACTGAGCTGTTCTTCAGCTCATATAGATCTCTAAAGATCTCAGGTGATCTTTCGTAAGATTTTTTTTATGGAGTCAAACTCATCTTCGAAATCTGTAGCAAAAGGATGCACAGCAAAAGGATGTCAACGCACATGAGATTTAGCAAGGAAAATTTTGACTATATATAAAGGGGACAGGGGAATCACAATGAGAGTGGTGCAGCACTGAAAGCTTTCCAGAGAGGATGCAGAACCTCCATCCTTGGAAATAATCAAAATTCAACTGGATAAGGCTCTGAGCAACCTGATCTTTGAAATTAGTCCTTGCTTTGATCAGGAGGACAGGCTAGACTCGTCCAGAGGACCCTTCTGACCTGAATCATTCTATGAGTCATTGTCTCTATTTCTTTCAAGTGTGAACTGTACTTTCCCTGGGGGCTGACCAACTAGAAGGCAGCTTTGCAGAAATGGACCTAGGAGTCCTGATAGACAAAAAATTGAGTATGAACTAGCAATGTGCCCTTGCAGTAAAAGGCATCCTGGGCTGCATTAGGAAGAGTGCTGTGGGCAGGTCGAGGGAGGAGATTGTTCCCCTCTGTTCAGCACTGGTGAGGCGGCACCTGGAGCACTGTGTCCAGTGCTGGGGTCCTGGAGAAGAGAGACATGGGCATACTGGCATGAGTCCAGCAAAGGACTAGGAAGATGGTTCATGGATTGGAGCATCTGACATAGGAGGAGAAGCTGACAGATCTGGGATTGTTCAGCCCGGAGCAGAGAAGGCTCTGGGGGGATCTTATCAATGTGTACGAATACCTGGACGAGGGGCACTAAAGAAGAGGGAGCCAGACCTTTCTCAGAGGTGCCCAGTGACAGGATGGATGGCAATGGGCACAAACTGAGATCCAGGAAATCCCATTTAAACAGAAGAAAAAGCTTTTTTCACTGTGAGGGTGCTCAAACACTGGAACGAGTTTCCATGGAGGTTGTGAAGCCTCCATCCTTAGAGACTGGACAATATTCAAAACCTGGCTGGACGTGGCCCTGAGAGACCTGCTCTAGGAGATGCAGCTTTATGTAGGGGCATTGGACTGGACAATCTTCAGAGCTCCCTTCCAGTCTCAAAGGTTATGTGGCTCTGTACTATCCACGGAGTCTGACTGTGACTGCTCGGGATGCTTTCATCCCCAGGACTGCCTTTATTCAGGAGTCCTCTCACTGCTACCAGCTCCCACCTTCCCTGCCTAGTATGCTCCCAGGATACTTCTAGCTTCTGGAAAATAGTATCAGGCACAGATGGCCAACATTCCCCATCATTTGTACTCAGAGGGGTGCTGAAAAATAATTCTGTAGGAAAACAGCAATCCTCAGTTCCTCCAGGCTGTCTTCAATAGAAGGGCTTAGTCCTTTCAATGCTTAGGTGCCTCCTAGAATACGCTGACCTGCTGAAGCCCTTGGGTTCTGAAGAGACAGGATGGGCCCTGCAGTGCTGCTTCCAGGGGAGGCTTACAGCTGATACCATAGTGAAATAGTTAAAACTAATGGGCAATAGACACTTGAACATGTCAGGGAATGGACCTTACACAGAGAATGTATTCGGGCAGTCATATGGAAAAAATGTATTTCAATTTGAATTGTGTAGAGAAATAATCCCTGAACACTAATGTTGCTTGGTAACAGGTTTTCGTTCTCTAAGTACTAAGAGAGTGACATGGGTTTAAATGACTGGCCCCATTGTTGCATGCGTGAAATTATTTGCTGGTCTCAGCTTAGGCGGCAGTTGACAGACATGTGCGTCATGGCAGCTAGCTTTAACGGCATCATCAGTGGAAGTCCCAATGGGGAGGTACAGATATAAATAGCATAGCACAGATCTGGCCATTTCCCCTTCTTTGTCATTTCTTCTGACTGTCAGGGAGGTGTTTCCCAGTTGTTCACTATACTGTGGGTGATTCACCGTTCCGCATCTTTCATCATCATTAGACTCAAAAATTAACATTCATCAAAATGATATGTAGAACTCCTCAAATAATCCATGGTACAAACCCCTTAGCATGCCTAAAGTCTCCCTTGCACTTCAAAAAAATTAGCAGCCTTTAGGCTTCAATATACAATCCAAGGTGGTTTCATTCAGACTTCTATTTTGACAGTTATTCAGAAAGTCAATGTGTGATAATTCATAGCTGTCCAGGAACACACTGGCTTCCTGAAAGACCAAAAAAGTGGAAACTTGAAAGAAAACACTTAGGGTTATTTACTGAAGCCAAAGGGCTATTATCTCCTAAAATACAAAGAAATCTTTACCCACTGGGGAATTATGCTTGAGGATTTACCTTCACACATTCACATTTAAAAGGATTTTTTTTTTCTTTACTTCTAAAAACTCTGATATGTTTACTGCTCTTACTGCTCCCTTACTGTTCATAATGGTTAAAAGAAAATTAAAGGTTATTCTGAGAAAAATTCTGAGAAAATCCAATCATTTCTATGCCTTTTACTTCATAAATCAGTCTTGTTACTGGCAAACTGATTTTCAGGCTTATTTATAAAGCATCAGTGACATTCAGTGTTCAGTTAAAGTACTGTAACTTAATCACTTTCACGTGTTGTATGCAGTTCTTCACCTTTGTAGCTTGCTTGTTTGGGGCTCTTTGCTTTTTTTTCAAAACTGGTGATGTAAGGTTTCAAAATCTTGTTCTACTAGCTGACCACATATATGTAGTGCTTCTAATTAGAATTTTCTGTTTGTTTCCTTCTAGGCAGTTGATATTCTTTTGCAGCATGGAGCTTACGTGAATGTTCAGGATGCAGTTTTTTTCACCCCTTTGCATATTGCTGCATACTATGGCCACGAACAGGTAACTAAATGGGGGAATTTCAGAAAGCTACTAAGTGGAACACCAAGGCAACTATAGGTTTAGTATTAGATATTTTTGCTTTACATTCCAGAGGGTCCGACCATGAAAAGGCCTCATATACTGAAGTTACACTTCTAAGTCAACCTCCGGTTGCCCTAAGAGTCTGAATATCAACAGGAAATTTCTACACTTTAATCCTCCGTGCTAGACCCCAGCAAAAATTGGCGTCTTCCCCTCTAGACCTCTTGAAACAAATGATTGTCCTGCTAGCTTTGATAATCTATAAACAGACTTGGACCCAGAGGCATATTTCATTTGGTGTTTATTCATCCCACATTTCAGAGATTGCATAAGGGATGTGAGTATACTTTCTTAAATGTCTCCAAGGAAGTGAACATCACTTCCCAGTAATAACTAAATTGCAATTCTATTGGTTTTCCTTGGAATTCACAAACAAAATTGTGGCTACTTTTAAGTTAGTGGAAAAAATTATCATTTAGAGAGCAGGATTTTCCATGAGATGCTGTGCACATAACAAGTCCAGCTGTGCTTGCTTCATTCACACAGATCACAGACTTACTGAAACATCATCTGAAGTTCTGATCAAAGCTGGCATTGAACCTCCCAATTCTCTTTCTTTTGCTAAAGTATAATTGACATATGGTTAATCTATCAGTCCAGTCATTTGCCGTGAATAGCCCTTTTATGTGAAATGTAATAATGGATCTATTTTGGCTTATGCAAGTCATTCTCTTTACCTTTCTTTGGCTAAAAGCAAGTATTCTGGATATTTTCAAGTTTCAAAGGATGACCTCTAGGTAGAGTGTACTTTTCATTCCAATGACATGCTACTTTGAGTCCATTGGGGATTTGTTGTAGGAAAAGCTTTTGAAAGAACAGAGTCCAGATGCACAGATGATTGAAAATGCACTACTTCTGTGGCTGAGTGACAGCAAGGGTGTGAACCATGGATGTGATCCTGAGATGCTTCTTTTCATATGTATGTGCCTCATCATCCAGTAACATTAAGAAACTCCTTGCATGTTGGGCTGAGAGATTAGTTTGTTTATTTTCCATAAGCCACTTGTGAACAAATAGTCAGAGTCTTGTGAAATTATGCTAAAAGCTCCTATGGTGCTCTTGTGATAAGTTTTAAGATCTGATTAGAAAGGAAGCTAAGCCTCTGGCATTTGTGGACTTCAAGGGCATTTGCGGACTTCAAGGGCATTTGCTTTATTATGCTGCCTAGTCAGTTAAACAAATACACGTCTTGTGTCTAGCCTTTTACCATACATAACATTTGAGAGAATGAATGAGCACTTGCTTTTGAGAATTTTAATATTTTTGTAGATATGTAACTTAAAATTAGTTTTCTATTGAATCTCTCTCCCTGTTTTAGCTTTAAAGAGATGCCCACATGTAGTACTACCCAATACAATATTCTATCTGATTTTGTCAAAGGATTTATTTTGTGAGATTTTAATTAGCCTTAATGAAATATTTAGGTAACCCACCTCTTACTAAAGTTCGGAGCTGATGTGAATGCAAGTGGTGAAGTTGGAGACAGACCTCTCCATCTGGCTTCTGCCAAAGGCTTTCTCAACATTACGAAGCTCTTGATGGAAGAGGGAAGCAAAGCTGATGGTAAGAAAAGATATTTTAAAAAATCAACTTTAACATTGTATTTTATAGACAGAGTCAGGCTTTGAATCTTGAATTTAGCTTCCCAACACATACTCTGTGTGTGTTTGTGTATCATCTGAAGTTTTCTTCACTTCTTAAGTATGCTTGGTTTGTCATCTCATGTGCATTCTGTTTCCATTAATAAGTTAGAGGTGAAAAACAGCAGCAGAAACAAAATTAAGATTAATATACAGAGGTAACTTACTATTGAGATGTTCATCCAATCAGAGAACATGCGGCTGTGTGGTATGTATCTCCAATCAAAATTATTTAAATGCATAGCGAACTCCTAGTGAATGAGATACAGATGAAGGATTTTAAGTCAAAATTATACAGCAAGTAATTTAAAATAATTCAAATGAGAAATTGAAATGGTTCACGAATAATTTCACAGGAAATGGAATATCTTTAGTACACACTTCATTATGCTTCACAAGCTTCATATGCTTCATTGTGGGACATTTTCCATACAAGAAAGCATGTGTGAGAGAGATGTAATGGGTCAGACAGATACAAAAGTCTACTAGCATGTTTCTGCAATCTATGCATTCTTTTTACAGGTGATCTCGCACTGATGCCAGTAAGACTATAACTTAACAATTCAGTGCTGTATATTTTGCATGTGCCGCAATTTAAAATATTTTCCATTGTAATTAATATTAGCATGCAACTAGTACTGCTGAATTCTTACACTTGCTCTTCTGTTCCCTCTCCTTATGCTGTTTCAGTAATGTAGAAGGCACAAACCATACCACACTCCAGTCTTACTTTTCCATTGCTGTGACACTTGCATCACAGGCATGTGCATACACACTTGTGGCCACGACCTATAAAGTCTTATAAATGTTAAAACTTAGAGTTCAAATTTTATGCATATTCTGATTATTAATGCAGAGATTCTTAAATCCTAAACAACGTTAAAATTATTTGGAAATTAATTTCTTATCCTCAGAATAAGAGAAAGAAAGTTTTTTTGAAAAGGAACAGTACATTACTTGCTCTTTAATACATCTTAATACAACAGTACAGTACTGCTTTTTAATACATCTTTGGACTACATCATTACTCTTGTTAACTTATATCCACAATATACAAGGTAGAATCTTGGTCCCCTTGAAGTCTATGGCAAAACTTCCATTAATTTCAATGGGGTTAGGATTTTGCCTAGGTGTATCACAATTTGCTCTTGGAAAAGCAGAACTGGAAAAACAAGAGACAAACAAACAAAAAACTTTTGCTGCAAGAATCCTGCATGTTATAAAAAGAACAAGAAGTTATCAAAGTTCTTCAGTTGCTGCTTCTCAACCTAGTATCCTATTTGATGTGTGTTTACAGTCCATGCACACAGCTATTTATGAATGAAAAGCAATAAAGCATAATGAGGAAGGCTAAAAAGGGATGCTGTATAGCCACATTTGAAAAACCTGTTAAACTGCCTGGCTCAGGTCTTTCCTAATCTTACCTGGTCCAATAAATACCCCGCTGACAGCTGTTAGTTGACCTCAGGAGAGGATAGTCAAGTGGTCATTTTGCACAAGTTCTGTGTTCTCAAGCCTACAGTCTTTGGTGCTGGCTCTGTAAAGCTCTGTCATTCCTTGACAATTGTAAAAGCAGGGGCAAGAGCCCATGAGGCTTCTTCCTTGCACAGTATGCCCAGCAGTGCCAAAAGCAGCAGCATTCATGTACCCCTGTTCCTACTCTGCTAGTGGCACAAAGACTGTGTTTCTCCCCAGTTTCCTCCTCTTTGTTAGATTTTAACAGTAAAAATTTACCGTATTTTCTGCGAGGCTTGCCTACAGTACACACATCCTACTCGTGCAGTAAAAACAGTGTGGAGGGAAACAGCATGACTCAGATTTGCAAGTATTTTTTTTCAATAGTGAGCGCTTGTTTCACTCCCAATGTGTGTGTACAGAATGGATATAATGATAATAAAGAGGCAGGAGGGGGGGAGGGGGGCGGGGGAGAGACGTTCATTCACCATAACAAGGCAGTGGGAGGTTCACTATCACTTAGATAGTTTATTCCAAAAGAAAAAGAATCTGGGACACCGTTTTGGATTCTTTTCTTTAGAATCAGAATCTTCAGAGTTGGAAAAAGAAAAAGGAGACTGGAAGCGGGAAGTCTTTTACTCACAAAATAGCACACTTTGAAACTTGGTATAAATATAGCAGTGGAGGAGCAACTCTTAAATGCCTAGGAATTAAAGTAATTGGTGAAATAACCTGAAGAAATTTTGGCAGCGTTCTGTGCAGACCAGTAATTGATGTCATAAACTTGAACTATTTCTTTTAACGTAAACTGACTGACTCGTTGATCAGCTCTGAGGCCATGGCAACTGAAGAAAACCTGTGACCACTGAATCAGACTGAAAAGGTCAGAATACTGCTGAAATATAGAATCATAGAATCATAGAATCATTATGGTTGGAAGAGACCTCAAAGATCATCAAGTCCAACCGTATACCTGATGCCACCATGCCTACTAAACCATGTCTTGAAGTGCCACATCTAAACGTTTTTTGAACACCTCCAGGGACGATGACTCCACCACCTCCCTGGGGAGCCTGTTCCAATGCCTAACAACTCTTACAGTGAAGAAGTTCTTTCTAATGTCGAGCCTGAACCTACCCTGGACCAACCTGAGACCATTTCCTCTCGTCCTATCGCTAATTACCGGGGAGAAGAGACCAACCCCCACCTCGCTACACCCTCCTTTCAGGTCGTTGTAGAGAACGATCAGGTCTCCCCTCAGCCTCCTCTTCTCCAGCCTAAACAACCCCAGCTCCCTCAGCCGCTCCTCATAAGACTTTTTCTCCAGACCCTTCACCAGCTTTGTTGCCCTTCTCTGGACACGCTCCAGCACCTCAGTGTCCTTCTTGTAGTGAGGGGCCCAAAACCGAACACAGTATTCGAGGTGAGGCAACATATAGCAACATTTGCAGTCTTAACAATAGCCAAAATTCTTCTTCAACCCAACCACTATATATAAGAAAAACATATAAAAGAAATGTACTGCGCATGTATATATTGTCACAAATGTTCATATTTTACATATGCATGTATATAAAACCAATGTGTTACAAGTACAGTGGGTTCTCCAGATGCTAATCTCAAAATTTGTTTTAACATAAACACTGTAAGGAAGGACTAAGTAAATTCTGTGTATTTTCAGAAATCACATACGGTCTTTCAAGCACATTTATTGAGTTATTGGTCAGATTCCTTTAAGGTCCAAATCCATTTTGAGATGATTAATATATCTCAAAGACGAGCATGCCATTACAAGCTGCTATCACTTAAAATGCCTTACTGATCTTGAGATTTTTATAAACTGATTTAGCATGGAATTTCTCATTTCTCTTTTTAACAACTTCTATTTCCTTCTTTCTTTTTTCACACCTTCCAAACTCCTAGAGATTTTTTTTGCATTATTGAGTCAATATGATTGCTACTAACTTGCATTATTTATTCTATCAGGAAATTCAGTTTTATATTTCAGAATACCCAAATGGTAGAATGTAGTAATAAATGGGACACAAAATATCACTTCATAATTTTTTTATTCATTCTTGCAATCTGATAGATTTTTTCTATCATAATTGTAATAAACAAAATGAAAATAAGGGGTTTTTTCTTAAAGTAAAGTAGAAAAAGAAGTTTATTACAATGAGAAACCATGAGTATTCCTCAATAGCTATTCTCTGTCCTCATTTCATTGGACTGAACTCCTTTTGTCTCCTTCTTGCTTTTCTAGTAGCTTCACTATACTCACATCCACAGCTGACTTTTCTCTGTATAGTTTCTAAGAATGAATATTTAGCAACACATGTTAGATCCAGATGACTTGCTGGTTTTGGCAGTTGCCTGGTTATGGTCTTGACCTTGAGAGGTCTGTTGTCAAGCTGCTGAGCCCTTTAGGTAATCAGAAGGGTACATTTGATCTCAGGAGGGCTGACTTCTGAGCCAAAGTCCAAGTCATCTAACTATTTGTTGTTTCTCAATCTCACCTACCACTTGGAGGAAGGTAAACTTCATTATTGAAAATAAAGAGCTGTGGGTTTTGCTTGTTGTTGTGTTATCAGCTGGCCTGATTGTATGACCACACTCCTGTTGCTGTCCCAACACTCCAGCAGAAAAAAGAATGGGCGAATGAAAGGTGGGGATTAAGAAGTAACGGTAATTTAGAATTGTCATATGTTCCACTCCTTTTTTATGTTCCATTTCTTTGAAATCAGGTAGGGCCTGGAAATAATTGCTTCTCAAATGCTTGAATGTAGAAGTAGGACATCTAATGCAGATGTTTGCATGACATCAAAAACTGTTCCTTTCAAAATGAAAGAAAAAAAATCATATTTAAAAAATGGTTTTATAGCCTCATGGGGTAGCTAAGAAACAGAATATATACAAACTGCTATTTGTTGTTATTGTTCAAACTGGTGGTCCTAGAGGCTTCTTGCAGTGACCACATGATATAAAATATATTCTTTGTCTTTATAATTCTTATGATCTTTCAATAAAATTTGTCTACTCTCAGGACTACTGAGCTGCTAAGAGTTGCAGGTCCTCTTTTTTCAAGTATCTTTGAAAATCACTGTCACCTCTGCCAAATACAATCAATTTTAAGTTTAAAACCAGAGTTTGATATTAAAAATCTAGGCATGTTCAGTCATACTTCTCTTAATATTAAACAGTTATCATTCATTGGGACTTGGAAAATTTTCCTTATTTTTTTAAAACAGACTTGCACTGTCTTTTTTTCATCCTTTTACTTACTGTAAAGGTTTCACCTGTTACTTTCTACCTACGTAATGTCTCAGTCCTAAGAATAATTTCTACAGTACTCTATTTTGTTCTAGACAAGAACTTAGCACTTGCTTATTTTTACTGGTTACTTTCAAGGCAACCTCAATTTTCAGTCTCTGGCTGCCATGACAGTTGCACTATCTATCCTCGATTTAATAAAAAAATACTTTGAAATCTCAATCTGAAGAATTCTCCTGCACTCTTCTTTAGTAATTCCTGAATCAATATGATGTACTTTTTTGCCGTAAGTCTCTTTTAAAGTGTTTACTGATTTTGTTTTGTTTTGACTCTGAATTTCCCTTCTTTTTAAGGCAATATTCCAGTTTACCTGTCATGTTTCATTTAGGAATCAGAAAACTATCAATTAAAACAAAAACCATCATCCCATGCTGTAGTTATATATCCTTCCAGAGGCAAAGGAAATGGCTTGCAAGTATTTGACATCATTTCCAACTGCATAAACAAAGGAGAAGATATATGTTTCTTTCGTTGCTCCACCTTACACCTTATTGTGTCGTAGGAGCTCATGGCCCCGAGACCCCTGATGTCCTTCAGGCTGTTCTGTGGGTACATATTCTAAAATGCTGACATTTAGTCCCTTCTTATTTATTGCACTTCAGAATGAATCTGTGTCTGGTAACACATCATAACAAAAAATAAAGGCTAACATGTCACATGAATCTAAAAAGTGAAGAATTATTTTAGAATAGAGAAATAAAGCAGTTTTCTTTACTCCTTTTAATATAAGACTGCTAGGAAGGTTAGTGGGAGCAGTTAATGAAATTTTCAGGCCACAAGCTTAGTAAGTTACAGGAATTCCTTTCTTTTTCTTTTTTTGGCCTGAAATAGAATTAATCTTTGGAACTATCTGTCACTAGACATCAGTGAAGTTGTAAGTTCAGCTCATTTTAAATGACTGTCCATTTCTGTGAGCTTTACTTCAGAAAAGTTTTAAAATAGGGATTTATTTTAATTTGCATTGTTCTTTATACTCCTGCAAAATCAATAGAAGACAGAACCTCAGAATGTGTTTGGTTTACCCTTTGTTCCAAGGACGCTCAGTTATAGGAAAGAATTGCTCCTGAGAGATGTTTGTCAAAGTTGTGCTTAAAAGCCTGTGTAGTACAAGTTTGGACACCTCTAACGAACAGATAATTCCTTAGTAGTCTATTAATTTCTTGTAAACTGTCTCAAAGATCTGGTGCTAGATTGAATTGAAAACTAAATGTGGTGCAAAGTATACTGGATTTGTCAGTTCTATCAGTTATGATACCAACCAGTTCTGGTTGTTCTGCCTTTAAACATAGAAAGAAATGTACTAAAGAATCACAGAAATACATGCCCTCTTTGAAAGCTGAATGAAGATCTTTTTGGATAATGAAAACAACCTTTGTATGTCTCTGTACCAATTCAGAACTCTGCCTAGAGCCATGTCCAACGTCATCTTTGCTTCCTACTAGGTAGATTAAGAAAGAGCCACGTAAGGTATATCCATACCCATTTCAGGCATGCCTAAGAAGGTTCTCAGGTGCTGGAATGCAATTGCCTGTCCTGTAAACAGTCAGAAAGCTCCCTGGCATGGATGTGGTCCAGGTTAACTGGCAGTCTCAAACAATTCCCGCCTGTGGGTCAAGGATCTTCCAGGGATGGCTTCCTAGTAGACAGGCTGCGTGCAACTGCCCTTACAATAGTTTGATGCTCTCGGTAGATACCAGCAGTTCTGTGATACTTGGCCTCAATACAGCCATGGTTTATGTTGTTCTATAACAGAATCATTTTTAAATAGAACTTCACGATAAAAAGTGTGTGATATTAGTATTTGCTATACTAGAACAATATCAGTCAAAATTAGATTAGTTCAGAAATGTGAATCTGCTTCTGCATGCTAACTGAAACAATATTTTGATCTAACAGATCCCTTACTGACAGGTTTCCAAGTGCTTTGTGGAACTGGGACCCAAATCTTCAAGAAAGAATCTCGGTCTTACTGAAAGCCAATTGAATCAATGAATTCTTTTAAATTCCCTTGTTGCTTGCTAATATTGTCCATCCTACAACCACCTTACTATTTCACCCAAAATGTCTGAGAATATGAGCTAGTGAGAAAACTCAAATTCAAATCCTTGGTGCATATATGCTTATTTGAGAGGTATTTAGAATGAATTAGTTTCAGTTTTCTTTTGCTTTAAATCTTATGCTGTTATGTGTTGATTACAGCAACAATTTTTGCAGGTAGAAGGATACAAGAATTAGTCTTCAGAAATTAAGAAAAAAATACTTTTGCTATATATATTTTTATAAGTTGTGTGCAGCATACACAATGCATGATTTTGTGACATAAAGCACTGGAAGGGCAAATCTCTTAAACAGAGTGAGACTTGTATCACACATTGTTTGTTTCCCATGTGAAATTATATTGAACCAACAGAGATAAATACCATTTCCACCCAACAATAATGTACTCTGTCTCTAATTTTGCCCATTCTTTTATATATGTTATGTTAAAGAATACTCCCATTCTCTTAAATATGTGAAGCACATACACAATCAACCTTTGTGAAGCACATACACAATCAACCTTGCAAGGGAAAGGAGACATTCAGCAAAATTAAAATATTGGAAATCCAGACTTTTAAATTAATTCTCCTCTTAATTTCTTGCCTTTTATGTGTTTCTGACTGTAATACCAACTATGAAAAATATATCCTTGTTGTCTCCTTTATTTTTTTAATTTTTTTTTTTGTCACTGTATAACTATCAAGAATCCTTGATCCTGCCACTGAAGGAAGCTAACACAAACCTTAAAACCAACTGGATTGTCCTTTCCTAAGAGCAACAATGAAGTATGTTTCTTCCTAGTATTTTTAATTAGTAACTATTGTTCCATGCATTTGGAATAACTCAGTGGATTGCTTTCTTACAGATAGTAACTACGTATCTTACTTTTGATTTGCATTGTAATATACTCACAGCAATTGCTCTTTCTAAGAGTCATTTATAACTGGTGATTCATTCATGGAAAGCTACGTCGAAACATTCAACACATCTGCTACTGGAAGAAAGCAATTATACCCTAAGTCCAAAAAATAATCTTGACAGTGTACTACAGATGGCACTGAGTAATGTAGTTTTGATATATGAAAGCTTACAGAAATTTCAATTTTAAAGAAATAAGACCATAAATATTTTAGCAGGAGGTTTCAAAATGTATAGGCACAACACATAAAGCATTACTAAATATCCAAAACAACTATGTTAAGTATAAAATACTTTCTTTCATCTCTTTCTTGGTCAAATGGCAGTGAATGCTCAGGACAATGAAGATCACGTTCCTCTGCACTTCTGCTGTCGATTTGGACACCATGAAATTGTAAAGTTCTTACTGCAGAGCAGCTTTGAAGTTCAGCCCCATGTGGTGAATATCTACGGAGACACACCTTTGCATCTGTGAGTCACATGGAGCAGCTCTCTTTTATATGGTTTGGACCTAATTCGACAGCTAGTGTTGTTAACAACTCTTTACTGACTTCATCTTCAGTGCATGTTACAATGGCAAGTTTGAAGTTGTCAAGGAAATAATTCAGCTCTCAGGAACAGAAAGTCTCACTAAAGAAAATATATTCAGTGAAACGGCTTTCCACAGGTGAGATGTTTAAAATGCTATTATCAATAGAATTCCACTTATATATGCATGCAATACAACACACAGAATTACAAATGTCTCACCAACAGCCAGGTGAGGAACAAAGCAAGCAGTGAGCTCAACATGGGTGGTAAGTCTATATCTTGAGATACAGGAGAGGACATGAAGTAAGAGGCAAAAGCAGATAGTGAATGGGGAGAGACCAAGTGAGAGAAAAAAAGATAGGAAAGGCATCAGGTTCATCAGCTTCTGGATGAATAACGGTTTCTCTTTCTGTCCAGTTTGGAAGCTGAGCTTAAAGTCTGTTCTGCCTAGAAACCTGCTGGAGTCTAGATCTTCTAAATTAGAAAGAAGGTGGCAGAACGCAATTCGGTCATGATGCTGTAAGTTTGTAAAGTGTTATTTAAGAGGCACTTTGCAAAATAGACTGTATTAATTTTGCATAGTTGTGCAAAATTGATTTATACAGCAATAATTAGAATGTTTCTGAAACAATAGAAATGAACATGCTTTGGTGGATTAATGATGCATTTGCACATTTCTAAAGATCCTTTATTCTATTACTACATTTTTATCTCTGTGTAATTATTTTTAAATTTTTGACTACCCAAAGTATTTGTCCTTTTATGGACTATAGCATTCACTTTTCCCTTTATTTTTGCAGTGCTTGCACCTATGGAAAGAACATAGAACTTGTAAAATTTCTTCTTGACCAGAATGTTGTGAGCATCAATCACCAGGGAAGAGATGGACACACAGGTAATATCATCATCTTTATTGTGTATGAGTGCATATACCAGCGCTCAAAAATTTGGAAGCCATACACAAACAGGATTTCCAGGGTAATTCCCATGGTAATTCGGTGATCAGCATCCAACTACCTTTCAGACAGATCTCAACTTCTTTGAAATGTGTTTGCAGGCAGGCATAGAAGTGATAAGAGTTCAGTGAGGATGAGTCAGCCTTGTTAACTTGTATATGAGTAACAAAACCTGATGTAAAACGATTCTCCCATAGTTAGGCTCCTAAGTATTTTAAAAATCAGGCCCAAGTATTATTCTGCTAGGGACTATGCATATAGGATATAGTGTCTGAAGGACTGCATTCCTCCATGTCCCTACTACAGGCAACGAAAAAAAGAGACTTCTTTGTTTCTACTTGATTTTCCTCACGTACAAAGTTGTTAAATGTGATTTGCAGGTGGTAGAGTAATTACTGACATGTTGTGTAAAGGCAATAGATTGGTTCTTGCAGCATTAATATTTTATTTTCACCTATTGCCTCAGGTATTTTTTGATAATATATTCCTTTATCGAGGAAATCAATTTGCCACAAGTCCTATTATGAGGTTCTGACAGTTGTGCTTACCACATTTCTCTGATGTTCTAGGATTACACTGTGCTTGCTACCATGGTCATATTCGACTTGTACAGTTTTTACTGGACAACGGAGCTGATATGAATCTGGTAGCTTGTGATCCCAGCAGGTCCAGTGGAGAAAAGGATGAGCAGACCTGTTTGATGTGGGCTTACGAGAAAGGTATTACAATTTTCTAGTTTCTGCTACAAAATCCACAGGAACAGCACAGGAAGGAGACAACACTACAAAATAACCCCTCAGTCCCTGTAGACTAAGAGCTCTCACCATCTTCTTTCCAGTTCCTGGCACAAAGGGTTATAAAAAACAGCCCTTTTATTTATCTTCTCAGATGCCCTGTTAAACATCAGTTTAATTCAACACGAACTCAAGGACAGGAGTATTTATGTGCTGCTAAAATAGAAAACATACATCCTGTTCAGTAAACGCTATCTCTCCCTCTGGTATGTGCATGAGTTTTAATTTTATTACTGAAGGAGACATTACAAGGAGTGATGAATCAGAGTCAGCAATCTTAAATTCTTGCAAATATGGACCAAAGCAAGGCATTTTCCATGGTTCCTGTTATACTGTCCTACATGTACAGCGAAGTGTCAGTTTTCTGTCCTGGTTTTGACTCCATGATTTCTGGGACATTCCCCCCACTCCCAGGAGCATTGCAGTACCATTTATTACGAGGATAACTGTAATATAGTAAAACTATGGATTTCAAAGGCCTTTCAAAAACCTGACATTGGCAAAATACTCTGTATGAAAGTACTGAGGGAAAACTCATCTTTGAAAGATTTAGAAAAGAATTTTTGAATATTGCCAAGCAGAACATTGTGCACCAAACATCTGGGAGAATCAGCTTGTGCATACACCACTCTCTTCTGGTTCCCTGCAAAGAAGAATGATGTGTATCGCAGCTGTCTACAGCAATATAGTGTACAAATTTTGTCTGGTTTAGGACACCAAAACTGAAATATTTTCAGGCACTGGTTTTCCTTGTAAGGCCTATTGAAGACTATTATCAACTTCCATTTTAGGATTTCTGTAGCAGGGTTTTTTCTATTGCCATATATCACATATAGGATTAGGTGGATAGTGAAAATGACATGCTTGTTTTTATTGACAGGTATTTCCCTAGATTTCTGTAGTTAAGAATCATAGTATGTTTCAGATTAGCACCACTGTATCTCTGTTTACATGTTTTATAGGCACATTGTACTTTTTTTTTTAAATCCCCTGATTTTGTATAAATTAATTTGAAAAAAAAAAAAAAAGACTATTGAATTTACCTGCAAATCCTTATATGTCCTCTTTCTTTCTTAGGTCATGATGCCATTGTGACCCTTCTGAAGCACTATAAGAGACCTCAAGATGAATCACCTTGTAACGAATACTCACAACCTGGAGGAGGTATGGTCTGAGAAATCACTTTATTCTCTGACCAAAGGGCTGATCCAAACACCACTGAAGTCTCTGGAAATGTTCCACTGATGTCAGGGAGCTTTGGATCAGTTCTGTCTGGCACAATGAAAATTAGTGTCATGAGAATCGCCATTTTCCAGGTATCCTCTATTTATGTCAAAAGTCTTCTTTTATCTTAAAATAGAGTTGTCACTTCATATTACTCAGTAGAAAGAAAAGTTAAAAGCTGTAAGATGAAGATCAATCCCTAGTAATCATTACTCATACCTTTTTACATCCTTAATACCTTGTTTAGCCATTCTCTTTGTGGTGTTTAGCTCTGATGTTTCTTTGACTGCTGACATTTGGTATATTTCTATACTCAGCCTCCTTCATATTTTTTTTATATCTTCAGATATCTAATTCCCCCTTAGGAAGAATTAATTACTCTTTTTGCTACAAAAATACTCATTTATATTGGCAACTAAATGACAATCACCAAGAATGTTAACTCAAGCAGTTAGATACACAAAGCATTTTGCAGCATGTTGAGAACGCTGCCTACAGAGAGGGTGAATGTGTTACACATCGCAGTTTGTCCAGGTTATTGACTCCTCTTGTCATTGAAACGGGAGGAACCCTACATCAATCTGCTTCCTACATAGTTTGACCTGTTACCGGTTTAGCTGTAGTATATCTCAAGAGTATGTAAATCTTTAGGGGACTAAGTTTATGCAGGTATTGGAAATATATTTTGGCAAGCAATTAACACACCCAGACAGTTCTTTTAATGCTGATTGTTAAAAGAGCTCAGCTCCCACTTAAGTAGAAAAAAAGAGATTAAATTTTTGGTACATTGAGAAAGCTGAGGTCTTTTGGAAAATCTAGTCAGTGAACTAAACAGTGCAATGTGTTCACAGCCCCATTGTCAGAATTTGTGAATCTAATCTGAGTTCCCTTACAAAATCTAGCTGATGTAAATGGATACATTGGCCTTTAACACCAGTGAAAGTCAGTATTGTTCTACAGCGTTCAGTGAAGCTATATACAAATTACTTTCAAGAACGCAGCAATATAACATCACAATCATATGTGTTTGTATGCTTATGTATATTTTCACCCCTTTATTATTCATTCTTTAAGCAATCATTGCCTCATTAATTTATCAGTACAGATGCTTATACTGTCTTTGAAATCCATAAAATTCATTCTGTTCTTCTATTTCAGATGGTTCCTATGTGTCGGTTCCATCCCCTCTAGGAAAGATTAAAAGCATGACTAAAGGTATTTTCAATAGCAAGGGAAAACTTGAACTTCTATGGTCTTTTTACCCAAGGTGTTTGTCAACCTAAACATACTAAGCAAGATTTCTTATTCCTGGAATTTTCATTGTTCAGAAGTGTAATGATGTGCATAAGCAGCAACTATATTTCCCTAGGACAATTCTAGGAAATTACATACTTAGCTTTTTCACTCAGTGTCGTGATAATTCCTGTATTTACCTTATTTTCATTTACTTTAAAAAATATATTTATTTTTATTTCTTTGGAGAAAAGGATGTGATTGTGAATTAGTACTAATGAAATACACACATATTGATGAATACAAACATTGTATTGAATTCCACTGTAAAATGCCTGGATTATCTTTACAAGAAAAATTCTGACCAAAAATAATTTGTGTTAACCTGAAACACATATAGATAAAACATTCAGATGAATATTTGTACTTCAAAATATTTCATTTTTGTGGTGCTTTCCAAATTTTCACTCTGGATATAATCAAATCCTTACATCCTTTACATAGCAGCACTGAAATGTTTCATTTAGAAATATTCTGACAAACTTTATAGTAGTAAACCAAAAAGATCAACAAGGCAGAGATGTTTGCTAACTAAATTAAGTTACAAAATTTGGATCCCACACGTTACTAAAGAATCGGTCGGATCTGGAACAACATCCCCTGCATTAGTAATGAGCACTAGCTATACAGGAAAAAAGGAACTAATTCTCCATGTAAAGAATTTTACGCAACCATCACCTGATACAGGCAGAATATGCTTATGGGATAGTGTTCATCAGTAATAAGATTTTAAAGCCAAGAAAGTCCAAGGTAACTGCAGCATTGCAAGTATGTGTCTGTTATTGGGGTTTACTGTGTTCACTGAAAGAAAAAGGAATAGGATTACCAGCCAACCAATTTACAGGAGGAAAATCAGCTTTTACTGTGCAACAGTTTTGTGAAGTTAAAAGCTTATATTCTGTCCTTCCCCATGACGCTACATTTTACAAATAGGATGAGTGTTTTCTTTTGCAGAAAAGGCAGATGTTCTCCTCCTCCGTGCTGGTTTGCCATCACATTTCCATCTTCAGCTCTCTGAAATAGAGTTCCATGAGATTATTGGCTCAGGTACCAGAAATAAGAATGCATTCATTTTAAATGTCTGATGTTCATAATAAATACCTTTGTGCTTATTTACTTTAAACCATTTTAGGGTCTTTTGGAAAAGTATATAAGGGACGATGCAGAAATAAAATTGTTGCAATCAAACGGTAAGTTTGTCCAATTTTTCCATCTTGTTTGGTTAATTACCTAGTTTGAAGTATTAAAAAAAAACATATTTTATGATCTTTTTGCCTTACTGTTTTCTCTCATGTAAATTCTAAGCTATCGAGCCAATACCTACTGCTCCAAATCTGATGTGGACATGTTCTGCCGTGAAGTTTCCATTCTCTGCCGACTGAATCATCCGTGTGTTATCCAGTTTGTGGGAGCTTGCTTAGATGACCCAAGTCAGTTTGCCATAGTCACTCAGTATATTTCTGGAGGATCACTCTTCTCCCTGCTTCATGAACAGAAGAGGTATTCTGCTCATTCTCTGCTTGGGTTTGTGGTACAGAATTTGGAAAACTAGTAAATCTATGCTGTTGTAAATTCTATTCATTTCAGTACAAAACAATAGAGAAAGTAACACACTAGAAAATTTTAGTTTTGATTCAGATTATTGGGTGTACAAGGGAAAATTAATAAGTAATCACAAAATTGTTATTGTCATTATTTTACACTATATAGTTTACATTACATAGATTATATAACACTATTTTTTATTTAAAACAATTTAAATGGTTCAATGATTTACAGATAAGAATAATTTACAGACAATTTTTGTCTGATTTTTGACTTTGAGTATTTTTTTTTCCCAAAATATAGAACTCTTGATCTGCAGTCTAAATTAATCATTGCTGTAGATGTTGCCAAAGGCATGGAGTACCTTCACAATCTCACCCAACCAATCATACATCGTGATTTGAACAGGTAAGTTTCTTTCTCTATCCTAAAAATTCAGGGAATATGAAGCCTCAAAGCAGCAGCAATGGTCTGCAGTCTCACCTGTACTTGCAGACTCTTGTAACTGTGCAGTATCTCATTAACACTGATGGAGCTTGGAGGAAGGTCTACTTGGATTGGCTGGACTGGGGAATTGCGGCACAATGCTTTCAAATTCACTGGAGGCTTTAATACATTTTAGTTGAATGACTTAACAGATGGTAGTCAACTTCATGCTTATAATAATTTCACGGTCAGATATCTTATCTGAAATTTACAAAATATTTCTACCCTATTTGCATACATTAGTACTGTGGGATAGGCTTCTTACAATTTATGCTATCTAGTATATTTCCCCAGTACAGTTTTTTTAATCTGAAACATTAATTAATTCAGATTACCTACTTTTGCCCTTCTAAGAATTAAGTGCCTGATTTAAACTAGCCACTAGTCTCCCTCAGGTCAATGCAGAAATGCGAAAAGACTTCTAGAAGGCAATCCTTCCCATTTGTTTTAGATGCCTGTCTTGGAAAGGGAGGAACCTTGGATGAGCCTGTGCTTGTTTCAGGGCCCCTCCTTGTAGCCATCTAGTTTAGTCTCAGTGCCTAATGCTGACACTCACAGAGCTATGGCAGGTAAATCCCAGCCCAGGAGTCAGCTGACAGTGCCACTGGCAAAGAAGTAGGAGAAAGTCTACATGACATTTCCCTCTGGAAATGAAACTGAATTGAAAAAACACTCAGAGGTTTTATACAAACCACTATGAGTCACATTTGCTGAACTGTAATTGTTATTGATGGATGCAACTGCTAAAAAACAGTATTTTCTCATGTCTGGCCCACAAATGTTCAGCCTTTGTTAGAAGCAGGTAACATCTTCTCTACTGAGAGGAATTTTTTCATGCCATGTCTACATCAGAAATCACTCAGACTAGCCATTCTGCCCTAACTTCTGCTTTGGTTGTGGACTAATCAAAATTAGCTATAGTTGTATTTAAAGAAGAGCAACCAGGCGAAGAACGTTAGTGCTGAAAAGCTGTTGCACTTTTTAGCCACAGTAGTTTGCTTGGAAACACCTCATTCATATGTACAAGCACGGTGATAAGAAAGCTTCTACAGAAGCTTGTCATTTTCCTGCATCTTGCCGCAAGTTTTCATTTTCTGGTGACACTGATAGCTGCAGTGAAAGATTCCTTGTGAAAGACAGTCATTCTTTTGGGAAAAGGAGCTGGGTTTTTTCCCTTTGCTGAGCAAAGAGGTAAACCGATTGTGAGACTATGCCCAGTTCAAGGTTCTGGTACAAAACTCTGAAAAAATATGAGGCAGCAGCAATTTTCTAGACGTTGGCACCTCCAAGAGAACATCATGGCTTGCACACAGGAAAGTTTCTGTTTTCATGCTCCAAGTGTACAAAGGTCCCTATGAACGGAGCGACTTCAAATAACATTTGTGCTTTACAAACGGGAGGTTTCTTGGGATTTGAAGCTGAATAAGGAGACAGTGTGGAGGTGTGTGTATATATAAGACCAGTCACAGGAATGCAAGCCGAAACCCACCGAACTCAGTGTTCTGTATCTAACAGTGGCCCATACTGACAAATCGGAGAGTCAGGCATGTATATAATGATAACGTCTTGAATTCTCTCTCAGTACTCAAGAACTTTGGGTTCAAAAGGGTACTTTCAAAAATGAGTACTTGCTCTTGAAGTCATTTCTTAAATGAAAGAATAACTCTATTTGTGGTTACGAAAGAAAAAATATCCTTGTAGACTGAAGAAGAAAATCAGATCACTAATGCAAAAGAAACTGCACTTTTCTTTATTTTAGTATGAAAAATGCAGTCTACAAATCATATCACATCAAACCAGTCTTCGGGGATTTATGTGCTCTAGGTTAGCAATATTGGCACAAATTCTGCTTTATACTCTCACTGCAAATTTTAGCACACTTTGCTTTGTTCGTCTACTCCAATGTATGAGTGCATCCATCTGCTTGTATTAAAACTGCTACAAACACACAAAAATGGCTACTGTTAACCACTGCCAATTACATACCCAATTACTTTATTTAAATGTGCAGATATAGTGTTTCTGTATGGATTGGATAAATGTATGATGTTTAGAAGAATATTGCTGACACGATATATTCATCCGTGTGTATTGACTATACAGTGTTAATCTAAGTATATTAATATAAGCCATATTCTGCAATTTTACCGTAGCAGAGCTACATAAAATTTTTTGCCGAAGAGTATTTTAAATGCACTTTGGATTGGCTAAATATTTTCAAAAACCATGTCACTTGTCAAGATTCTTTTAGTCTAAGAAAGCCTGAACCCACATTTCAAAGGCCTTTGAAATGCTTCATTTTGACATTTTAAATTATTTTTTCTATTCTTCCTAGTTTATTTTTTAATCCTAATTCAAATTCCAAGTTTTTAAAATATAATTCTACTTATCATATAACTCTCAAAATATAAAAATGAAAAATTAAATGTTTCATCTTATATGAACAAGTAAAATTTTGTTGACAAGAAATGGCTGTTCCCCACTTTTTATTCAACAATGTTAAGCTCCACAAAATGTTGTGGGTCAATGCAAAATTAAACAGTCCATTAGAATCACTTATTCAAACAGTTCCATTAATTAGCAGGAGATATTAGGACAGTCAAACTCTTAAGTGCAATTCAAATTCTCTTCTAATACATTTTGAACTAATTACAATTCATTATCAAGTGATTTGACTGCAGAGCTTTGCAGGAGCCAGTTGTGAGAGGTTCAGGAGGAATCCAGGGAAACCTTAGAAAGGAAAGCACAACCTGTGCATCCTTGACCACGTCCGTGAGTGATGCCTGCCTGCAGCACGAGCGCAGAGCAGCACTGATCCCTGGGCATCCTCCTCCAGAGCCGCATCAGGGCTCTCCGCAGCGTGGTCAGGCGGGTAGAGATGTCTCAGCTCCCACCTTTGCCTGCAGAGTCGAGGTGGGCAGCCAGCGCTCCCCAAAAAGCCCCGTGCCCTCTGCTCTGCAGCTCCTCACCTGCCCTGGCAACAGTGGTGGCAGGGTTCCCCAGGGATCGGTGAGGCTGGGGTCCCCCCTGCAGCCCTCGGCTGCCCCTGCCCAGGTGTGCTTCCCTGCAGCAGCAGTCGCACCTCTTCACCCCCTTGGAGCTCCCAGTTCTCCCACAGGAGGGGCAGCGAGCTGCCTGGCCTCTCATTTCCTGGTGTCTTACTGGTACCTTATACTGTTGTTCGCTAGTCTTTAGGGGAGTGTCCTGAATTAAATCTGCTTTTGATAATCTCAGCTAAGGCCTCTTCAGTTGCTGTCTCCCAGCCTTGCTCTTTTTCCTCAGTGCAGACTGTGCTCAGTTCTGACATCTTGTCATTATTAAGACTCTCTAATTTCTTAATAACTGAAATGATGAAATGCTGAATGCTTAATTCATTGGTTTCTGTCCTTGTTGATTGAATTTCCCACACAGGCAAATATTTACTTCTACTGTCCTGCAAGGATGGATACAAATACTTTTTTAATCTGTTTGTTTGGAGTTCTTTTTCCATTTTTGATTTGAGAATTCTCAGTTTATTTTCAGCATAGCACTGTGCTTTCAATTAATGCTTTGTCACTCTCTTTCATTACTTCATCTCCTTCCCTGTGTTTTGTCTTTTTTACTTTAAATATTTTCCCATAATCACTGAGCTCATCTGACTTTCTTGGTTTGTTTGGCCCATTTGTTACAGACAAAAGCATCTCTGATTGGAACACTCCTGAGAGCTAAAATCTAGTGCAAGATGGTGCACTCATTCCATTTCTTTGGTGATAGCTGAGTGAAGGCACTAAGTCCTTGGTGTATGCAGAGAAAAATCTGTTCTTGCTGTTCTAGCTATGAAAATAGCCTCATGATGTGCATGTGAAATATCTAACTGTATTGAATTGTGAGATTTTAGGTTAAAATGATCCTTTTGCTAAAGACAAAGCATGAGTCTTAGTTCTGCTAGCCCTTTAATGCAAAAGGCACATCATTCAAAGTGGGGATGACTGGGCTTTCCTCTCACACAGCACAGCTGTGCACTGCTTTGAACAAACAGCTTTCTGCCTTTGACTGTCACCTCTTCTGCTTTGACAAGGCATCCCTTGTAAGTCCTGAGTACTGGGATGGGCATTCAGTTCTTCAATTTTAGCCTAAGTCAGGATTGCTAACAGTTTCTAACTAGTTGCCTTTATTCTTTTGGCAAACTGATCTTAACCAATATTGTACGACAAGGTCTGGATTAAGAGCAAAGAGAAAATATTGATATTACAAACTTTCAGGGTGTTAAATTGTGAGGAAAAGCTTGACACTGGTCAGAGATTTTCTACATTGACCTTTCTTTCTCGGATAAAAAAAAAAAAAAAAAAAAAAAGAGATGTTGGTAAGACCAGCATGCCTGCACCAGTCCTAGAGGCTTTTGGAAACGTTGCGGAAAAAAGCTGTTTAGGCCAGACCCTAACAGTATAAGGTGCATTGACTAGGATTTGCTTGCAGATAGCAACCTGCATATTGACCTACAAAAACAGACAGGCTGGAAGAATGTCTTCTAACTACCCCATTTTTCTTTTTCCATGATTGTACTCGCCTCGTTTCTCCATTGCATACCACCCACATCCACCAGCTCTTGTCGTCCTCCTTACAGTCAAGGTTCCCTTCTCCTCACCCCACTGGCCCTGACTTCATGCATCCTCCACTTTCTCACTGAGTCGCCTTCATATACCTGCATCCCCTCACAGCTTCCTTTTGGGCCACCAAACTGGGGAGCTCAGGGGAAGATGCTTTCTTTTGAAGCTGTAGTTCTTGCCTCAGTCGTGGTGCAAGCCAAGAGCCTTGTGTCTGAATGCCGCAGTACGTGCAACTGTTTTAGGACATCAAAGATCCAGACCTTATGGTTCAGCCTTATGCCTTGTCACTACTGGCTGTTAGAAAATAGTTCTGCACTGAAGGATTTTTAATATTTT